GTGCCTCGTACTTTTCCAAAATAAAAATTAAAATAATTTTTAAAAAAAAGTCCAATAATTCTTTAATTATAATAAAAACTAATATAGTTATAATATACTACTAACATTCAAGTGATTTTATTGCCTAAAATTTTAAGTTAAAAATTATAACTTTGAATGCTAAGGGCTCGTTTGGTGCTGTTGAAGTTTTTAATAGAAATTATATTAAAATTCCAGTGATTTTACTGCATAGAATTTTAAGTTAAAAATTATAATTTTGAATACTAAGGGTTTATTTGGTGTGGTTAGAGTTTTTAATAAAAATTATGCTAAAAAGAAATTATTGTAGAAATGTTATTTTTGTAAATAAAAAGAGAAATAAGGATAAAGTAAAAATAATATATTAATTTTATTAAAATCTAAATATGAAATTCTTACAGAAGCACTAATTTAATACTTCTGAGACTTGCAATGAAATGAATAAAAAATTAACTTATGAGAAGTAACATTTTTCATAAACTATAGTATTTGATGTAACTGAAATTTTTTAAGTCCAAAAATTTTTTTGACTAGTTGTACCAAACATGCACAAAATTAAATAAAAATTTTTTTTTTTTTTAAAATTATTCCCATTTATATAATCTATTATATCTTCTATGTATGTTATATGTATCTTTATGTTATCATGTATGGACAAGTTGGTATGTTCCACAAAAAAAATCACATTTTAACATTCATTCCACACATTTTTTCTTGTAGGTGTAGACGTGTAGTGACCCACCTGATGGTGGGTGCCACAAGAAAGCTACGCGACAGAATCAACAGATCACAGCCACAAGGAAATTAGTTAGAGGGGCGATCCCACATTCCCACCGACACCCTGGTTACACGCCTTGACGCTTGATTGCGATGGCGGGGCTGTGTACGTACACTTCGGGTGTTGTTTTGTTTTCATTCGACACCGTCACGATAAATCCGAAGAATTTTCATCGATGTTATCGTTAGCGCGCAAGAAATTCATTGTTCGACGTATTGTTTTCGTTTCTTCAATTTCATTTAGTTAAACACCCCATTTTGGTCCCTCAATTATTGTACAGATTTCAAATTTAGTCTTTTAACTAAAAAAATCTTTGATTTGTTCCATACTGTTTGGTGTTTACCATTTTAACTTCGATTTGATCCCTCAATTAAAAATCTTCTTACGTGTCATGTTAACTAATAGAAGCACAATAATATGTCAACATATTAAATACACACAAGAAGATAGCATGGCCAAAAAAATATGAAAAAAATTCTCTTCTTTCCTCTTTCTCTCTCTTTTTCCTTGCCTTCTACAAATCCTAAAGAAGAAACCTACAATTGCCCCCCAATGAAACCTGCAATTTCATCTTTTCATTTTTTTTCTCTCTCTGTCCCTCACCCAACACCAAATCTAGACATTTTCCATTCCAATTTCTCCTTTTGTTGGGTTTGAAAGCTGGGTTCAAAGGAACCCAACACAACTAAATTCTTTCAAACCTAGTAATTGCTGGGTCAATTGAACCCAGCAACTGCTTCTTCTTCCTCTTCCTTTCCTTTCACCTTCTGCAAACCCAAACATTTTCTAACATCAAATCCAAGTATAATACAAACATAAACCCAGAATCTCCCTAAAATAGTCACTGCCCTCTCAGCCTTCCAAAAAACCCAAAAAAATCAAGGTATCTTCAATCAAATCCAACAATAGTTCTTCAATCGAATCTAGCATTCTTGAATCAAACCCAACAAGGGTAAATCAATCAAACCCAGTATTCTTCAATCAAACCCATCAGGGGTTCTTCAATCGAACCCAACAGGCGATCGATGAACCCAGCAAGCACTCTTGGGTTCAATCGATGAACCCAGCATGAACCCAATGGCACCTACTAGGTTCAATGATCAAACCCAGGAATTCCTGTTGGGTTCATCGATCGAACCTAGTGACGTCGTTAGGCTCATCAATTGAACCCAGTAGCACTTGTTGGGTTCATTGATCGGACCCAGCAAGCGTTCTTAGGTTCGATCGATGAACCCAGCAAGCGCTGTTGGGTTCCTGTTGGGTTCATTGATCGAACCCAGTAGCAATCAATCTAACCCAGTAGCCAATGAACAAGGATCTAGGGGAAGAAGATGAATGCTAGAGATGAAAATGAAGGGGTAACGAAAGGAAAATGGAAAGAAATTGATGTGTGGTTGAAGATGAGGGTAAAAAAGTAATTTAGTTTTGTAATTAATTTTGGATATTTTAATTTTTACTGAAAATTACATGTCAAGTTTTATATGCCATGTTGTCAATCTTACATGTCATCATTTTTCATCAACTAATGAGACCCACAAGCAGATTTTTAACGGAGGGACCAAATCGGAGTTAAAATGATAAACAATAGGAACCAAATCAAGGATTTTTTGAGTTGAGGGACTAAATTAAGGATCCATACGATAGTTGAGATATCAAAATCGGGGGTTTAACCATTTCATTTTTGTAAGGGATTTCCTTCATTAGTCCGTTCTTTGTGGACTAACAGCACAAAAACAGCTGAAGCTCTCCATGCTTAACAACCAAATT